GATGGCTGAAAGGACTCGTCTTGAATTAGAAGTGCTGTACACTTAGTGAACATCCATGTTAGCTGAGGAATTGATTCTTAGTAAAGGAAAACTGCAAATTTTTCTTGCATGGGTAAATGTCACTCTGTTCATATCTTTGCTTAGCTGCAAGTCAGGACTTGTACTATTCAACTAGGTTGTCATAGAAACGCAGTTAACTGTCAACTAAGACTGTTGATGATTTTATTTGTAGGTTTGCAAGATTATTAAAATTTAACAAAAATTATTGATTTACTTTTTATTAACATGGAAATTCAAACCATATGGAAGCTTTTTTTTCTGTTTAAATTTTTTAAAGAGTGAAACTCATTATTAAATCTGCTTGATTTTTTTTAATGTTTTTTATTTAAAATGTGATATATAGTCTGTAGCAGTAGAATAACCTCTGTGAAATATATTTTTGAATCACTTTCCATTTTCTTTGTTTACAGCAAGCAGAAAAAAACCTTATAAATTCACCCTTAGCTTGCTTTTAACTTAACATAAAAGATACCTGTCAGAAAATCATGAAATGCTACATCAAGTGCCTAATATTGGAGTTTTCATTTTATTTATGATTTTTGAAGCCTGGCACAAATGCTTCAGTGAACTGTGTTGTGAAAGTATTTATTTTTGTATGTTTATTTGAGAGGAATTACTTAGTTTTCACTTATACATAAGACAGGCAAACCTTATTTACAGTAACTTTATCTAATGGTCCGTGGATGAGTGCTTTTATGCAAAATAATCTAGAGGCTAGAATTAACTTTTCACGTTGGATGCACATTTGATGTCCAGACCTGAGCAACATGTGGTATCTTATAAAGACTACCATTCAGAATTCAGTTTGTATTTAATGCATTTATTTCAGAATGTACACATCATCTTTGCATTTAATGTTAACTTTGTAATGATTTCTATTTCTTGCTTGTAGTTACATAAGTAAAAGTTTATTTGTTGCCTTTTGTGATTTTCCTGTTTCTTGGTTCTTTAGACTTGGTTAATTAGCTACCTTATGTTTTAACAACAGGTCACTTTGGATTGGGTTGATTATCATGAGTTATCTTTTTAAAGAATTATAGATCCTTTAGGTAACTACTTATACTTCCATTTGTTGCTATTAATTATTGAAGGTATTCTTGGAAAGTTAATAGTAGGCACATGGCCTTTGATTTTAATACTCTGTTACTAAATAAACAACTACTGGCTTGTATATACTTGGAAAAGAGAATTTGATAGCTCTTCATATGCATAGAATATCGATTTTTTAAAAAAATATGTTTATTGCTCTTAAAATTTAATTATTTTAAATTATTAAAAATTTTATTGTTCTTGTAGCTAGTCTGCATGATGGCCCCCAATGATCCTCACCTCCTGTTATTCCTGCCCTTGTGTCATCCCATCCCACACTGAATCATGGCTGACCTGTATGATCAATAGATTATTACAGAAGTGTCCTTGTGCAATTTTTTTTTTTTTTTTTTTTTTTTTTAGGCAAGGCACCCCTTGGTTGCCCCCCAAATCAACGCACCTTTTTTCAGTTTACAATCCCTTATTTTTTATTTTTTACGCCGATAGCACTTGGTCTTCCTTGGTGGTCTCCCATCCAAGTACTAACCAGGCCCGACCCTGCTTAGCTTCTGAGATCAGATGAGATCAGGCTTGTTCAGAGTGACATGGCCCATAGACCAGTGTGCAACTTCTGAGGCTAGGTCATGAGGCTAGGCTTCCAGTTTGCTTTCTCTTGGATCACTCACTCTGGGGAATTTACCTTTCATGTCCTGAGAACACTCAGGCAGCCCTATGGAGATGTCCATGAGGCAAGGAACTGAAGCCTCCTTCCAGCAGCCAGCACCAACTTGCCAACCATTTGAGTGAGCCATCATGGAAGCAGATACTCTAACTGCATTCAAGCCTTCAGATCATTGCAGCCTCAGTTGACATCTTGCCTGCAATCGTATGAGAGACCTTGAATCTGGTCACCCCTCTAAGCTACTCCTATATTGGTTACCCACGGAACTCTGTAAAATAATATGTATTTCTTATTTTTTAAGTCAGTAAATTTTGGTGTAATATGTTATGCAGCAAGTAGATAACTAATATACCTGCCAAAAAACACATTTTTGAACCTTTTCTATTGATCACATAGTTCATATTATTTGTAGACATAAAAATTGTAGAGGCTTCTGTTGTGACTTGTAGCATCATTTTCATTGGAAATTGGGTAGTGTGTTACTCCAGGCATTGACTTGAGAGCATTCATAACTGAATTTGAATTTTGGCTTTGTGTGTGTGTCTTGATGAAATTACTTAAAATTTCTGATCATCAGTGTTTACTGAAAATTTGTAAAATGGAATAAATATATTTAACTCTCCATAGTTTATTTTCCCTCTACCAGGATGAAATGAGATAATTTGAAATTAAGCCTAGGACAGACAGAATGTTTGATATGTCTTTTCCTTTCCATTTATGCACAAATTAGCCTCTTTTCATGTGCAGATGCAGTTCTGTGCCCCAGAAGTAAAGACTTTTGTATGCATTTGAGTTTTCAGTCTCTGCCTGGTATGTCCTGTCAGTGTTATAGTCTTCAGTAGGCCCAGCACTTTTTACTCTACAAGTTATTTTTCTTTGACTTAATTTTCTTTCTACTATGATATGCTTAGGTGTAATTTTCTTCATATTTGTCCTGCTTGGGGTTGCAGAGCAGCTTGAATTTCTGGGTTAATGTTTTATGTTTTAATAAATTCTCAGTTGTTACTTCTTTTAAATGTTGTTGCTCCTGCCTTTTCGTTTTCCTTATTCTTCTGGGACTGTAATTAAAAGTATGGTAGGCCTTCGTACTGTGTTCCACATATCTCACACATTCTTTTCTTGTATTTTTTTTAAATCTATTTTTCTCATCTAGGTTTCTCTTTGGATATATTTTGACCTGTTTTCCATTTCACTATTCCTGTCTTCAGTTTTGCTAATCATCTGGTAAATCACCTATTCAGTTTTTGATATCAGGTTTTCAGTTCTAAAATTTTTATTTGATTCTTTTTTATAGATAAAAATTTCTTGTTGAGAATTTCTATCTTTTCATCTATTTATCTATTTTTTCTTTTGTTTTTTTTTTTTTTTTTTGGAACATAGTAGTCATTGTTATATTGAAACTCTTTTCTGATAACTGCAATATCTAGGTCATCCATAGGTTCTGGTTTTTCTTTTTTTTTTCCTCTTTGATTTTTAGTCATTTGGTTCTGTCTTTTGGCATACCTAGTAATTTTTTGTTGAATCCTCAATATTATAAGTGAAAATTGTAGAGCACCCAGTAGTGTTCTTTCTCCAAGGAGAAGTTTTCTTTCTCCAAATGTCACTCATTCCTTTACTGGATATCCAGTCGTGTTGAGCTGAGTCAAAGCTAGATTGACATTTTGGTAAGCAATTCGTTGTGACCCCTGTGAACCAGGAGTTCCAATTGAGAGTCTGTAGTATTCATCAGGACCTCATTTGCTGATGGCTCCTGAACATTAATTCGTATTTCCTCAGCATATCAAGGCAGCTGGTTTGTTTGTATTTTTGAGACTTTCTATTTAGAAGTTTAGCCTCAAACATCATGTGGCTTTGCAAATTAACAGTTTTCTTATGGGTAAAAATGACTGCGTCACTCTTCCACTGGGATCTTAGCCTCTCAAGTCTTCGGTTTTGTCACCCTATCGCCACAAGTAGCAAAAGGGCTGCTTTCCTTTTTTTACCCTCAGCAGAGCCGTCTTCCCAGGTGTTCAGCCTCTTATCCTGCACCCAAAATTCGTGAATACCTCCAGGAAGAATGGCTGTAGAATGCCAGCTCACCTTTCCATGTTTTCTCCACCACCTTGGAATCTTGGTCTTTCTAGTTCAGGTTGCCTCAGCAGCCCTTTAATTGATGCCTTAGACTGATATTGCTATATATTTCATTAAGCCTTTCTAGTTATTATGTGTGGAGGCATTGATGTGCCTCAAGCTACTCGAATACTAGCTGGAAGGTTGGAAGGTGAAGATTGTATTATATTTGAAGGAGATGTCCATGAGCAGATTATTTTTGTGAACTTCTATTTTGAACCAGCTTTATTGATCACAATTATTGGTATATGCACTTTTTTTTTTTTTTTTTTGGTTTTCCATTACATTGATACAGTAAAATCTTTTTTGAATCATTATAATTTCTATAACTAAATTTGATTTATTAGTTCATGGCCGTTATAGTCAATATAGATTCCTAATTTTATAACTATGAAGAGTAAGGATAACTTATGATTCTGTATCAACGATGAGGTTAAACATATAAAGTTAGTAATAATACATATAAAACGATTAAAACATTTTTAATGCATAAGCAGGTATATTTATATGAGACTAAACAATTCATTTTCTAACAAATTAAGTAATGATTGTTCGTGATTAGTTATTTAAATATTAAAATATTTTTATCTGAAGGGGAAATATACAATTTGTTTTATATAAAATTTCCAATTTTATTTTACTTTGATTTAATTTTTTTCCAATTGAAATGAGATATTCTCAAATCCGACAAAAATATGTATACTCTTAAAATATAAAATTCATGTCATTTAGAGGTTTATTGTATTCCTGTCTTACTGCTGTGGATGTTTTATGACCATGAGGTCATACAAGTATTTTGCCCACTCACCTTTTATTGGCATATGTCTACATGGTGGGCCAGACAGTTTGCATTTAAGATGCCGAAGTTGATTACTGTTAACAGTAAGTATGTATTATCCTGTGTCCAAGTTTTGAATTTATTCTACCAGTGCAGTTGTAGCCACTGATAAACCTAGTTGGAAAAGTGAAACATTGAAGATCTTAACCATTAGTTATAGTTGTAGTTATTGACAATCATCAAGAGGACCATCTTTGGGTTCCCTTTAAGAAATGTGTTTTGAGTCTTTGACAATTTAAGTTAAATTCATGACTGCTGTCATTTTCTTTAATTTTTGTACAGGAAGAAGAGAGTGAAGAGGAGCCCAAACTGAAGTATGAAAGACTTTCCAATGGGGTAACTGAAATACTTCAGAAGGATGCAGCTAGCTGCATGACAGTCCATGACAAAGTAAGGTAGCCCTATAGCAGATTCTTCTGTAAGTCATTTCTGTTGTAAGTTTATCCCATGGAGTCTTGCTGCTTTTAGTGGTGTATTTTTTTTTTTTTACAGTAATTGTGTCTTCCTCCCTTCTTCCTCACCAAGAAAAAAATCAAAATGACAACCAAAAATATTATATATATATTTGTATTTGTACACATATATGGAGCACAGTGCAAGGGTGCATCAAGTAGAATTTAGATGATGGTGGATGTGAAAGATTTACAGGAAGTGGTCTTTGGAAACAGTATCACTTTACTCAAATCGTAAGTAGTAGAGTGGAAAAGTGTTAAGATTATAAACAATACTTTCATAAGGGTAGAAATTACATTGGAGGTATTAAGAATCATTAGAAAGGCCTCATATTATTACTTATATATTATATGAATGAATTAATATATTCCAGTCTAGGTCTTTGCTGTCACAAAGCCCCCACTAACTTTCTGAGTCTGGGCTAAGTACTGTACAGCACCCTTAGCCCATTCTTGAACTAAAACAAAATGGGTCATAATCCGACTATAGGAAGCCAAGCAGCTTCAACTAGTGCTCTGTTCTTCCCTGTGAACCCTATGAGTGAATCTTTGTCCCTCCACAAAAGACAGACTCCCCAGCTCTGATCCGTCTCCTGGCTTTATTCTGTGTTACCAGCAGTGTTGCCTCATCTTTCCTCCTCATCAGATTTCATTTCATTGTAAACTGATTCCTGTACTTGTTCAACATGTTACAGGAATAATTGCTGACTCTTGTTTTACCAGAAACCCTCTCCTTTGAGATGCTTGCCTTTTGGCTGCACCACTATCTACCCCTACCTGTTGCTGCTATCTATCTCCCAACTTCCTTGTCATTTTGTTTCACTGAAGAATGGCCTTGCAGTTCTTCAACCTGATTTATTTATTTATTTATCTATTTATCTATTTATTTTTATAAATTTATTTTTACCCCTTCTTTAATTCCCCCACCCCCACTTCCACCCCTGACCTATGGATGTTGCTGTTTCCCCTTAAGAACCAGATCTCTGAAGGCAAGGTGTCTCCTTTCACACGCTTGCGGTGTGCACCCAGGGCCTGGCATCCTTGGCACACTGGGGGGGCCTGGCGCACCCAGGGTATGGTTCATGGCTCCACGTGGGGCACGAACCCAGTACCTTCTGCGTGTAAAGCAGATGTGCTAATCACTACACTATGGAGCCACCCGTCTTCAACCTAATTTAATTCCACTCTGCCCTGTTTCATCTCCCCATTATTAAGAACACACTCTGGATGGTGTCAGTACCTGGAACTTGAGGATCTTTCAGTGCACTCTCTGTTGACTCCTTTTCTTCTTCAAATTTTGTGTTTATTTTTCTACTAATCCTGTTCTCTGACTTTACGGGGGCCCTGATCTCTAATCCATTCTTTTTAAAAAAATTTTCTAACTCCATTAAATGGTTAACTATTCTAACTTTACCAGCATCTTCAGTTCTGTTACACCCCTGTCCTTTGTTATGTCCCTAGCCACTAAAATTGTTTTTATTTCTTCTTCATTAGCTTCTTTAGCCCTCAATCCCCCTTCTCAACCACTATCCCTTTCCTTTCAGAGGATGCAGTTATTTGTATTTAATTAAGAAAATTTTAAAAAAAGGAAAAATTGAAACTATCAGGCATGATCAGCCTCAGTTCCCGACCCCTTTACCCTTTCCCAACTCATCCGAATCCATGCCTATACTGACCTACAGGAGATTTCTTCCTCTTGTTCAAGGGCCCTTTTGTTCACCACCTCATTTCATCCCTTCTCTTCTTGTGATACATACTATGTCATTGAACAGATCTAACTCTAGCCTCACGTAACCAGTAATATACTTTCTGTCTCTAGGATTTGCCTATTTTAGATATTTCATATAAATGGAATCGTATGTTGTTTGGTCTCTTGTGTCTGGCTTCTTTCACATGGCATAATGTTTTTGAGATTTCTTGTATCAGTATTTCGTTCCTTTTTATTGCTGAATAGTATTCCATTTTATGAATATACCATATTTTGTCTATTCATTCACCAGTTGATGGATATTTTTCTGTTTTTAAAACTGTGGATCTCACTTTCTGAAAACATCTTCATCATTACATCCATCTGTTATTATTTTCTTGATCATTTCTGTTACTCCCGCTGCTTCTTTCGCTTTCTTTTACTTCTACCTTTCCCTTACATGTTGATTTTCCCAAGATCTGGTCCATTGTCCACATTCCTTCTAAATTTGTACTTTTTGATTTTAAATTTCATGACCTCCGTGACCACCTACATTGCCCCTTCCCAGAATAGTGTTATTTATCCAGGTGCCTCCTAAACATCTCTACCTTTTGTTCTGTTTTTACCTGAAACTCAGCATGTCCATAATGTACTCATCTTCTTTTCTATGTAACCTTGCATTTTTTTTTTTTCTCTTTCTCATTTGGTGGCATCACCATCTCCTTTGTCTCATGCGACTCCTCCTACCCAGTCATTCCCTAAGTCCTGGTGATTTTCTTACCACCCCTACCCTAGCTTAGGCCCTCATCTTCTGCCTGTACTCACGTGCCTCTAATTTTTCTACTTAAAACCCATCTATCACCTGGTTGCCAGAATTATCTGTCAAAAATACAGATTTTAAGACCCTTGTATGATTTCATAATCTACTAATAAAATCAAAGTTCCTTAATGTGGTATGTAAGGCCCTCTATAAGGGCCTTGCCCCCTCGTAATTGGCCTTATTTCTTACTACTTTCTGCCACAGATGAGGCGTTCTGATGACAATGCTTGGCTCCTTTTACTCATAACATTTCTTCTGCCTGGATTCCACTCCCTGTCACCTACTTGAATCCACTCCCATCCTGAGCCCTTCTCTTTTAGTTCAGGCATGCTTCATTTCTTCCTGGAACTAATGCAGGCACTGCAAACCAATCTGTTTTCCTTCAGATTTCCTTTCATTCTAGTCCATTCCTAACAGTTGTTTCTGCTAAAATAATCTTCCAGAAACTTGAATCTGATTGTGTAATCCTCCTTAGAACTTTTTATTGACTTCCTGATGTCTTCATGATTTAGACACACATACTCTTCCCTTTATTTTCCTACCTTTCATTTCTCCATCAATATTCAAATGCCTCCTATTAACCAACCTTAACTGCCCCATCACCTGTCTCCTCCCCTGGGCATGAACTGGATACTCTTGCCATATAAAGCTACTTGTAATTTCTTGACTTTGTTCTGCTTCTTTTTTTAAAACTGCATAACTTTGAGCAAGTTGTATTCACTCAGCCTAAAATGGTCTTTACTACAAGCCTGCCCCATCTGCCTCAGTTTCTAGTGTCTGACTCCTTCTTCAAAGTCCAAAGTTCAGCGTAGCTAACACCATAGGGTTTTAGAGATATTCCATTCTAGGCGTACTCTTTAAATGTAATAATAATCAGGTTTTTATATCTGTCTTCATTAAACTACCACCTTTTAAAATCATGCTTGCTAACTGTCTGTGCTTACTATAGATTAGATTAGATAAATTATTACTGTTCCCTTATTACTATGTTGTGTGTTGAATAACCATTAAATGGGTGAAATGGAGAACAATCTAAACCAACTTGGCCAAGGAGCCTGACAGTCGGAACTGTAATCTGTGCTAACTTTTAGAAATGCACTCTTATCTGAGGCCCATGTTTTTATTTATGAGATTTCTGGTACAATGGAGAATATTTTAACTCTTAATTCTAACCCTAACTCTGCCACTTATTGCCTGTTTCCAGGGAAGTCACATCAACTCCTGGACTTATTTCTTCACATGTAATCGAAGGCACTTCCTGCTCTAATACTTTGAATACTATAAAAAGCTATGTGAAACATAGATGTTATACAGCTGACCACATTTGAAATGTGCTGCTGCTTTTTTCTTCTGTGGTGTCCAAAGGATTGCTTATCACTTTTACTTGTTTATATACAGAAAGCCCAATCATTCAAAGTAAAAGCAGTTATGCTATAGAGTGGTTCAGAAGGACCGGATGCCCAATCTGATAGTTTATAAAAAGGAGTCAAGTTTCTGTAATTAAACATGAAGGTGCTAATTAAATTACATTTATTCTTTGCCTGTCCTGGATTTTAAGTGCTCTCGGCTTAAAAAAAAAAGTTAGTGGTTAAAAAGCCAAGGCTTTTAATGACTGGAAAGAGAGTCACGTTTAAAGGCTTTGTATTTACATTTGTGATTTATGGCCAGTTTTGCTTTTTTTATTTTAAGTAGTCAGAAGCATTAACAAATATAATTATGACTTACCAATAGTTTTGGTAGTTAAATAAATTTTTGAAGACCTATCTAATTGGTTTATCACATTTGCATTTTAAGAGTACATAAACTTATTTCTAAAAGGGAACAGCAATAATTTATCTAATCTAAATGACTAAATGTTTTTGTAAATAAATGGTAAAGTCATAAAAACCACTTTTTTTTCAAAAATATTCTAAGGTAATTATAGTTTTAGGTTCAAACTGTAAAATCAAAATAATTATTGTATGTTTTCTTTCTGTCGTAAATATTAAATGTATTAAACCAATAATTTTGAAAAAATAAAAAAGGAAGGAGTTAATGTTTGGATAAAGTACCGTGCGTAGAACCTTTAAAACTAATGAAATAAAGTATAATTGGAAGTTCAAGTACAGCCTTCACAGAGGTGTCAGAGAATGACCCAGTAATAAAGCATTTTAAGGGTCTAGTCCCCCTTAGTTTTCTAACAAACTGAAAACAGTATTTATGAGAAGAATCAATACCATTGAGTACTTGGGGTGCAGTGAGCTTTTAAGACTCATTCTGTTACCAAAGATAGCTTCAGAATGAAGTGGAGTATTGTTAGTAGTATGTGGTTTTCTTAATTTAAATATTGTTAGAGTGTCATTGTAGAGAAAAATTTACAATTATCTGAGTCTTCTATTTCTGATTAGAATGTTCTTTTGCTTTGGAGAAAACATCCTGATTTGTTCTAAATATTCAGACTAATTTCCCCCCAGAATTACCTCTTGCCCCTTCCCTTTCCAGGGCCCAGGCATCCTGTTTTCACCAGGCTTGCTGTCTGCCCTGGATGAGTAATCGGCATGGCACCTGGTGCATTCAGGCAGGCCTGTGCCGCGGAATCGTCATACCTAGTTATGTCTGCACACCTGATGTTTTATTAACCAGTATTGATTTTTTTTTACCCAGGGGACTTTTTTCTTCTTGAAAAAAGGCAACCTTGCAAGAGTGAAAGGCATTGCAGGGGATGAATTTCTAATGAACCCCTTCTTTCCATTTTTGTTGCTCCTCTTTAATGTAGCTTCATATTTTAAGTGCCTGAATTGATATTTCATTTTAAGCAATTATATTTTGATAAATCTTTTTAAGTCATGACTTTCCGTAAGGTTATTTTTTAAAGATTGTGCTGCTTGAGTGAAATGCTTAGTAGTGCCTGTAAATTTGAGCATTTCATTTTAGATTGCAATGAAGCATGCTCACATGCAGTGAAATACAGAGAATTTGGAACTATTTGAATAATGTGTAAAATAAAAAGGAAGAAAAATCTCATGTCATTATTTCAGATAGTCCTAAAGTTTTTTCTGGTTTGTTTAGGGTTTGTTCAGAGAATTAAAGAAACAGTGGAAGTTATAAACTAATTTCATACCATAAAATGAGTATGTAGCTCAGTAATTATTTTGTGACAGAAAAGGATATTTTTTTGCATTAGAATATCAACATTTACACTCCATATTATAAATTAACTTTTATAGAAACATTCTAGTTCTGAATTTTTTCTTCTCTTGTTATAACATGGGTTTTCCTAAGAAATAATAAATACTTTGTTGTGTGTTTGTGTGTGCATATGTTGAACTTAAGTGATAGCACATATTTACACATTTGCCATAAATTAAGCTAGTTGCTTAATTGTTCCCTTCTGATTTTGAGTTCAGCTGCAGGTTGGTTGTGCTTTCATAGCTGCATTTTAATTTGCTGCCTCAGTCCATCAGGCATTGTGTACAGACCACATACACACCATTACTTGTCAGTAGATGAACGTCCTCATGAGTCATTCTGACAGCTGGCCTGCACTATCACAATAAAGTAGGTCCCATTCTGTTATTTCCCTGAAGCTGGTAACAGACTTTCTTCAAGGATTGCATATCTTCCAAGGCCTTGCAAATCACTTATGCATTAAGAATCTTGACTTTGAAAATGGTTTTATTACTAATTGTATGTTAATGTTACATTAATAAGCTGACCCGTCTTTTCTTCTTACAGTTTTTGGCACTGGGCACACATTATGGCAAGGTTTATTTACTTGATATCCAGGGGAACATCACTCAGAAGTTTGATGTAGTAAGTATACAGTTTAAAATAATGTATTAGCCAAATTTTATGTAAAAATTTGTACTTTATATTATTACATTTAGCTATTTGTTTTAATAGCATAAAGGAAGGATCTTCATCAGTTAAATTGGTGAAAAAGTAACTCTGAACTTTATAGTATATGCTAAAAATTTTAAAGGTGAACCTTGTAAAGAAAGAGGTCTACATATATATATTAAGTATTTTGACTGGGTATCTTTTATATACGAACTCCATTTAAAAATGTTTTTTAAAATTTGTTTAATTGCAATTCTTTAGTTAATTATAGTCATCTACTTGGCTTTAAACTAAGTATTTTAAACTAAGTATTTTAAACTAAATATTTTACGATACTCTTATACGTATTCTTTTAAAATTATAACTGTGGAATGTCTAAGTGAAATGTTAATAAAAGGAAAAAAATTAGTAGTGAATAATGGTGCTAATTTACACACAAAGGGATTTGTAGAGTATTTAAAGTGTGAACCCCTTCATCTGGTCACTAGTGTCAGTTTTAAGTACATGCCCCATCATCTTGTACAGATGGCACATGTAATTGAAAATCAATTAATCACCTTACTGGTTTAGTTTCTCTCTTCTAAATATATAAAGCTAATATTTTATGTGAATTATATTTATTGAAAGCGAAGATCAAGGCTTTTCAATTTTTTAATTGTGATTTGGAATCATTGAGGAGGAAGAAAATGTTGAATTCGAAGCTCGATTTCGTGTTTAGGATGTACCTTACCTTGAAAGTATCAAGGGCATCCATGGTTGTGTAAGTGTGAACATTTGGAGTGGAAAAGTTGGTCATTTTGGGAGGCAGATAATACTTTTTTGAAGAAAGTGTCAGCACTTGTCGAAAGATCCTTCATAAGGTATTGGTGTGGTTCATAAAGGAGACTAGAGTTTCTAAACCTGACACATTGTAGGTGAAAAGGAAGGGATTGCATCATTTTGATTAAAAGAAACAAAACCACTGAATGGTGACAGAAAAGGAATTATGTGCTTTAATCATACACATCAGGAAAATTGTGGGTTCTTGTTTGGCTTTAGTATCCTTTTCAGGCAAGAGGAATCTACTTTTGGCCCTCTCTCATCTACTTCCTGGACACTGAACTCTCGTCTTGATGACTTAAGCATTTGGTCTTTCAGTTGCTGTCCATTAAAATGTGGAGCTGGTGCTGGGCAGAGCTCTTTTTTGTGGTGTTGCTCATCTCTCCTTACCTTAAAAAATTTTTTACCTAATTATTCTTTTAAATTTCCTGCTCCAGTTCAATGATTCTGTAACATTCTGCTTCTAAGTAAATCTTTCTCATATTGTGTAGCAATTTCAGTATTTAATTGCTAAGATTCACGGTGTATACAGTGCTTGTTCCATTGCCAAAAGACAAACCAAGAAAAATACTGTATGAGTTTATTCATGTGTTTGTTCTCTCATTAATTTATTTAGTCAGTTCTCGTGTCTACTCAGTATACCCCTTAGGTAAATCTTCTCTGATGTCACTTTTATGTCAAGTATATCTTACATCCTTCCTCGGGTAATTTATGGTATCATCCCTAAATTCGCCCACACCTTTTTTCAGTTGCCTACACTTTATTTTATTTCTGCCTATATGACATCTTTGAAAATTAAGTTCTCTATAGTTTTGCACTCTTTTTTTTTTAGCAGGAGAGGAAGATGGTTTGGTGCTGTATTTATTTGTTCGTCTCACTCAAGATTTTGGTAGTCTGCTGTGGAAAAGTATTTTATGAGGCCCTGGCTTCTTCATGATCATTACCATATTAGGTATTTGACTTTCAGGTGACAAGTTTTAGATTGTCATTATTTTTTTGAAAGGAGCCTTAATCTTCACCTTCTCATCTCTGATGTTTTTTCCTTTATTAATTTTTCTGTTTCTCATGTTGTAGTTCCTTTGTGGAGTTCTGTATTATTCTTCTTAAAAAGGCATTCTTTCAGTTCTAAAAACACTATTATGACTTGAATTTGCTGATTTTCTTTGAATGTATGTTTGCCATATTTAACCGAGAACTTTTTTCTTCATTATAAACACAGCGAGAGTAAAACAAGTATTAGGGAAAAAAAGAGTGAACAAATACTGCTGACTTTAGTTTTCACTTCTAGGTAAAAATATTTTAAAATAAAGTTAGATAAGATAATAATATCTTATATTTGCATAACATTTTTTTATTTCCCAAAAAGTATCTCTTCATCCCATTCCTGGCATTTGTAGTTTTGATTCTAGTAGTACAAATCATGAAGCCATAGTCCGAAATCCTCACCAGTAAAAAGGGTTTTGTTTGGCAGAGGGTGAGGACATTGAGGAATCTATTTTAAAAAGATTTCCCAGATGATTTTTAAAAAGACTGACCATACCAAGTGTTTGTGAGGATGTGGACAATGTAGAACTCTCGTATACTACTGGTGGAAATGTAAAACTTTGAAAAATAGTTTAGCAGTTTTGAAAACATTAAATATGCACCTACCATATAATCTAGCCATTCCACCCTTAGGAAATGAAAGCATATGTTCATACAAAGACTTGTACGTGAATGTTTACATCAGTTTTATTTGTTATAGCCCCACAGTGGAAACAGTCTATATGTCCGTCTACAGATGAACAGATAAACAAAATGTGGTATATCTATACCATGGCATTCTACTTATCAGTAAAAAAGAATGAACTTTTGATACATGCTATAACATAGATGGGTCTAAAATTTATCATGTTAAGTGACAGAAGCCAGACTGAAACGGCTATATATTGTGTGGTTGAATTTACATACCATTTAATAAAATGCAAACAAATCTATAGTGGCTGAAAGCAGATCATTGTTTGCCTGGAGATGGGCAAATGATGGCGTGGAAGGATTTTAAAGTGGCATGAGACTTTCAGGGCTGATAGGAATGTAGCAAAGTTTTCACAAGTGCATCACATGTCAGAACTTAGCAAATTTACTCTTTAAATATCTGCAGTTTATTGTTTGTCGGTTATATCTCAATAAGGCTGTTAAAAATAATTTAAAAAAGAGACAAGCTACAGAAAAAATAGAATAATGTGTTCTTGGAGGTCATGTCTACACCTCAGAATACTTAACATTATTTGTATGTTTGTAACTCCAAACTGTTGGATATTCTTCAAGTGCTTGACATTATAAATCTAGATTATCTAATTACTGGATTCTTTGGTTTTTCTTTAAGTTATCAAAAGGAAAAAATATCTGTCTTTTAAAAATTTCTTGTTTAATATTTTCCTTTTCTGACCAATGAAGTATGGTTGGAGAAAATACCAAAAGTTTAAGTTTCATGAGAGGTGAAAGAATTTTACCAATATTATCAATATCTTTTTTCAGTTTGGTTCTGTATTGGTATAATATGGGATCTGTATTGTATATTTATTTCGAGGGAGCTCCACCTTTTGTAGAAATGATATAATCACTGAAAGTGGAATAACTGGATAGGTAAGGATTTGTTTTATAGGTTTCTCCGTAGCAGGTTTTGTGCTAAATATCTTGTTTGGCTACATCTGCCTAGTTAGCAGAAAGTCTATCCGAATTTTGGTAGATTTTCTAGAAGAGTTTCCTCTCAGAGGGAAGGAATTAAATGCCTTGTGAGGTAGTTTAGAAATGTAATTCCATTTTACTTTAGTGGGGAAAAAATGAATATCTTAGAGCGCATTGGTCTCTCAGTGACAGAAATTGAACTCAGCCAAGTTTAATCAACAGAAGTTCTTCTAAGTCAAGGTGAAGTGGGGCTTCAGGGCTCAAACAATGTCTTTGAGTCCCTATCTCTAGCATAGGCTCTTTCATCAGGTGAGCATCATGGTTGGCCCACAGTCCGAGACTGATGTCACAGCACTGTAATCCTCACAGACGTGAAAGGATTCCTTCAGTAGCTCTGGCAAAAACCTGCCTGGAGAGACTTTGATGGGCCTGGTTGAGGTATTTACTTCTACCTGAAGCATTTGCTCTAGGTCGTTTGATAGGATACTCTGGCCAGGCTCAAATTATGAATGGGAATTAGGGGAAGGGGGTGAGCATCACTCTAATCATAAAGAATCAGTTTCCTTAAAAAGCAGATCTGTTACTGCCTGGATCTGTTCTGGAACCAACATTCTAGTGCCCTGTACACTTAATGAATGATGCTAAATCTAGGTGTAATACTGGGAAGGACATTCTTGGATGGGCTGGGGAATCTTGTGAGAGATTATTTCCTTTGGACAAATCCTTTGAGGTGATTGCTAGGTCAGACACTATGAACATGTTTAAGGTTTTGCTGCAGATTGCTGGATTTCACTGCCCTTTAGGGCAACTGAATTATATACCTACCTGCATTGTATGAAAATGTGACTATATTTAATCATCAGCATTGGCTGTTATCATTCAAATATTCTTTGCTACATAGATTTCTAGAAAATAAGATTTATTGATTTAGATTGTATTTTTCTGACTGCTAATGAGGCTGTTTACTCTTTTGAGAATTGTTAGTTTATATACTTTGTCAGTATGTATGTAAAGTTCTACATTGATCTGTAATTAAAGAGTTGATTGTTTACAAGCAAAAGTAACATTGATCAGGGTGGCTCATGTGATGGCTCAAAATCAAAAGTTATCAGCAAGACAAATTTCACACTTGCAATTAAATCTTTCTATTACTAAATGAAACTGATGATTTACTGATAATTTACTTTTAGGACAACATCCATTTTTATACTAAATACTTTAAATCTGAATGTTGTTGTTTTCGTTTGTTCACTTGTTTTGATTCGAGTTCAATAAAAGCTATAATAATAAGATGTTTGTAGCAAATTTTAACACTGTATGTATTTTTGTTAAAATATGACTTCTGCAACGAACTCTTACAGATTGATAAGGAAAACACAAACAACCCAGAAAGAAACTGAGCAAACAATATGAACAAAAAGTTCTCAGACAGAACTCAAAATGTCTCCAATAAGTAAAAAGATGCTCAATTTCTCTAGTAATCATGG